CGGGAACCAGCCAGACCGATAACGGCCCCGGGGCTGAGCCCAAGCCGGAGCCCTCCGGGACCTCCAGGAACCACAAGCGTCTGATGCCCACGGGCACAAGCGCCAGGGAGCTGCGGCGCGGGAGCGGGCAGCCCTTCTGCCTCTCCCCTGGGTGGGGTGGCTCCATCTCAGTACACACCGCCGGGAAGATTTCCAGACAGACAGACAGCCGGACGGTGCTTCCCACCCTCTCAGCTCCCCAGACCAGTTCCACTGGATGCAAAGGCCAGTTTCCACTCCAACAGCTCCACGCGATCGGACCCGAATCCACCGTCGCCTCTCGTGAGCAGCTCCCCGCGGAGCAGCCGGGAACGCTGCTTACGCAAACAGAAGACGCGCAGATCCTCTGGGCTGCCCTGAAAACCACACGCTCCAGCCAGTAACCTACTTGTGCCCATCAATCCGCAGAAGAATCGAGTCCCAGAGCCAGAACCCTGCCCTGAAAGCACCCTGCCACCACGCAGGGCAGCAAATAACGTCAGTGGGGCCGCTCTCGGCATCAGTGGGAGTACCGAGCCGTGCTGGCATCCCCCAGGTCTCAGAGCTGGTGGGTGGGCAGCACCCACCTCCCTGGTGCTCGGCAGGTGAAGGCCAGCTTAACCTTCACCCATAACCGCAGCCTAAGGAAGGACTCCATGCTGTGGCTACAGTCCCTCCGGGAAGAAATAGGGGGAAAGTTAGACCTTCCACAGCCATCCCCAAAAGAAATGGGAAGGAACTCAGGGTTTAGGGGAAGGGACAATCTTTACTGTCCTAGGTAAAATGTAAAAGGCTCCCCAGGCAGTGGGAAGCTTTGCCTCTGCTGCTGACCTAGCCTCAGCCACCAGCAGCTTAGAGACCATTTTGCATCCCACACAATTTATCTGCCAGGTATAACCAGGAGGACCTCAGACTTCTGCTTCTTTCTTCTCAACCATCACCGCCCTGGGAGGGAAGACAAGATGGGAGGAGAAAGCCCAGAAGCCCGCTATCTCTAACCAGAACCAGCTTCCCCTCTGCAAAACAGCCCGGCCAGGGCACAGCACGATGGGAGCCAGCGGACCCTGCCTACTCGCAGGCGTGGGCGCAGGGAGCAGCCTCCCACCCAAAGAGGTGGCCAGGGCACGGGCACAGGGCTGGTGGGCGCAGTCCCATCAGCTCTGCAGCATCCAAAAGGTGACACGGGGTAGGCACAGTCCGACCCCCGCTGTGACCTACTGCCTTGGATGACCAGTTTCATACACGACTATGGCCCCGCCACTACGGAGCCGGCTTTCTGACCGGTCCTTCCAGCCCGACCGAGGCGT